TGCTTCTTGGAAACTAGATTCCAGGAAATCCCCAGCTTCTAATTACCAAATGTGCGAAGTTTCAGACTTTGATCTTAAGAAATACACCCATGTATAGGAGGGGGCCTCGGATTAGATCACACAACGTGTTGTAGATCGACACACCTAACCTAAGGTTTTAGTATCATCAATAAGTAAAACAAAGTATATTTTCTACTCTTAAATGGAATGGAATGTGGTGCCCCTTAGGTATCACTATGGATAATATGGTAAGTTGCATAAATATGGGAATTACTAGAATGAAAAAGCAATTTATGCGATTTTGTATTACAATAATTGGGATAGGTAAAATTTAGATTGAAATTCTCTTATCAAATGTTTTTGTTGTAGTGTCAGAAGAAACTAAATTAGCTAGCCTACAAAGACCTAGGCAATAATGCCATAGGTTCGAAACTTCATTTGCATGGTTAATATCATCATATGTTGGGGCAAGCAAACAACTTGGAGTATGTTCAACCTATGGGAAATCAAGGAGAAAGAGCTATCCATGTCTACACCTTTGTTTAGCTACCTTCCCGAGTTGAAGATCTTGTACCAAACATCCAGAGGAGTGAAATAAGGTAGCACAATGATTATCAACAATTTGTAATAGGTATTACATTCGTACTGCATTTATAGGAAAATGGATGGAGATCCAACACTAGATATTGGAAGGAGAGAGGAGAGAGTCTCTAAGGAAAATGGATAGGGATCCAATACTAGAGAGTTGGAAGGAGAGACGGGAGAGTTATAGGGAAAATAGATAGGGATCCGACAATAAAGATTGGAGGAGAATTTCCAACAACAGTATACACTTTTTGATCACCTTTATATCTGTTCAAGTTTATGAGTTGATGTAATGGGTTCTCTTGATATTTTTATTTTATTGTTTTCTAAATTTAAGATTTGCGGATATTTATTTGAAGAGTAAACAAATAGTTTATTGATCTTGTGAAGAGATCTCTAGGATGGATTTCCTTGCAAGCCCGGAGAGACGATATAATATATTCTCTCATCTGTTTATTATATCATTATTATTATTATTATATTATTATTATTATTATTATTATTGTTGTTGGTATTATTATTATTATATTATTTATTTATTTCCCATCTTCCCTGCATCAAGTGATATCAGAGCTTCTCCCTACATTAGTTGTTATCAGAACCTTGAGGAGACATAAATTAGGATTCAAAATTATCTAGAATATCTGGATAATTTTTTAGGTGAGAGAGAAATAATCTTAGCCATCCATCTCTAAGGTTAGCCATCATGATTTAGAGAAGATATTTTGGAAACTTATCCCCTGAGATTTGAAGAATTGACACATATCCACTTCTAATTTATCTAGACTGATATTTTTAATATTTTTATTTTACTATATTCTAGATTTTTACTACGAGCTTTTGTGAACGATAGCTACTTTGCAAAGCTTAGGAGAGCTTGCTACAAAAACATTTGTTAATGTTAGCTATTTCTCTTACTGCTCATGGAGGGAGGCATAGGGAAGTTAGTGGTCAGTCGAGAAATTCTTTACGGGAAGATACATTAGTTTCATTTATATGTGAAAATCAAGGTCTGTTGATATAGCTCTTGGACTTCCGAACGTGATCTATTGTTGGAAACATTGTTCCATGGGCGTCTAGGAGGGGGACCCTACCCATGGGTTTTGTCGCATTCTCTTAGGCAATTTATACGAATGCTTATGTTTTGATTTGTCACTTTGACACCCATGACGCAAAACCAAGAAACTGACAGATTATTTGGCTAGAGATGGGTTTCAGTAACCTCATCCTCAATCACGGAGATCTCTTGGTATTTATGTATCCTTCTTGCTTTCCCCAATGCACATTACAATTCTTACACTTGGATTTTACACATTATGAATTTTGACACTGTAAATTTATAACGTGCAAAGCATCAGCTAATTTCCGCATGTCTCTAACTAGTATCTCCATGACAAAAGTTTTCTTGCTTAAGAAATGACAATTGATCATATTATGCTTTTGTTCTAGTGTTCTAAAACACCGTTTGGATAAGGTACTATGCACCTGCTTGCCCTTGACCGACCAGAGCTACTTGGGTGAGTTGACTTGGGACTTACCCAAATCATGTCAGAGCCATTAAAAACAGGCCAAAAACATGAAAAAAGTAGATATTTTAATAAGTATGAACATTTCAGAAAAATATTACAAATTTTAAATCGTAGAAAATTTAAAAACTATATAGAACATGAAATAGGAATAAATTAATGTTATTGGCTTGAAAAAAATTGAAAATTAGAAAAATAGAAAAAAAAAAATCACAAAAACACAAAAGTAGGTACCAAATGAATTATAAATCAATTAAACTTGATTTAGTAAAGAATGAATCAAATCTATGAATTTAGATTGAAAAAAAATGACATACACATTGAGGCCAATCCCCTGACCTTTGTCCTCAATACAAATCAATGCCTCCAGTCTTTTTCAAAGCTTCCCTAAACAACCTGAATCAAAGCCCCTAACCAGTTTGAGTTCGGATCTAAAGAAATCCAAGCTCTTGAAACTTTGGATGAATAGTAAATCCGAATTTCAAATATCTCAATTCCCTTTTTTTCTTTTGTTAATTCAAGCCCATGATTGAATTAAGAACACAAAACTAGGCTTGGGGAACAAATTTCATCGAGGATTGACTATTGATTGTGAAAAAATTGCAATTTGGGCTGACTTTTTCAATCTAAAAAAATTGCAAATTACTGTTTTTTTTTCTCGTATGTAAGGCTTCCAATACATAGATGGGGACAAAATCTCACCTGGAAATTAATATGGCGCAAATTGCTAGTGTTTAGAGCTTCAATAGTAAAAACATAGAAAAAGGGGGTGGATTTCTGTGCCCCCTTTTATTTTGTGACTTGCACAGCACTTGGATGTGTACTATACAAGGTATTTATTTCCACACTTGGCGGGGGTAATCCGAATCCGAGTCTCCTTGGACGATTTCTTGAGCATTGATCTGTTCTTTTAGAAAATTGGAGTAGATGATATGTGGATTATTAGTTTATTACTCAGTGCTTCTTCTTCGATATTGCCTTCAGAGAGCTTCTTACCCTTTGTCACCAAATTGCAACCATTAGAATTGGGTTCATTAGCTTGTCATAGATCTTCCATCTTGTCGCTAGTTAACCCAGTCAGCATTAAAGAGAATCTTGTTCCTCAATCGAAACTGTGATACCTCAAATTTCTGTGAATCCTTATTGGACCCCTCTCGAAGTTCTAAAGAAACTTACAATTCCATGGTATGAAAGAAGTGGTTTAGTTCTATAGGTGCACCTAGCAACTTAAGTTTTTATCCCCAGTTTCCTTGTACCTCAGAAATCTATGGACTGCCTCTTTTGAGTTATTTTGCCTACCAGCCTAAAAAATGAGTTCTTTTTTTGCCTACCAGCCTAAAAATGAGTTCTTGATTTGGATTTGGGTGGTGATTTAACTTAAAGATGAATAAGCCTTGGAACATGCCACTTCATTCCCAAGAAATTCTTTGAGTGGTAGGGGTTCTATGATATGAAACACCTTTTCCAGGTTCTTTTTGAGAGTCCGGATAGACTCAAAAGTTCTTTTTGAGAGTCCAGATAGACTCCAAAACAAGAACCATAAAAAACAAGAGGGATAGGCCCAGAAACATTGCCATCAAACATAATTAAGAAATGTGATTCTTACTTTCTTATTGACAAATATCCAGTGATCAATATTACTTTAAATTATGTATCTAGAATTGATCAGTTAAATTTGTCAAACTGTTTTAGCCGATAATTGACCTTAAACTTGTGAACTTTTCCTCCCTAGCTTGAAAAGACATTAGGGATAATTAAGGATATGATGCTGATTAGGGATATGATTGCGACTCAATCGTGCTAATGAGGGATATGATTGTGACTTTGGTATATTGTAATTTTACTTGTGTGTTCCGAGGTTTCGACAGCAATACGGCATGAATCTCTAAAAATATATGTACATATGGAATTCCTCCTATGTCAACATGCAAGAAAGTATTTTTAAGATTGAGCTGGTGAAATGGTTGATTTCATTGAGCTGCATATGAGAGAACCCCCTCCCAAGTGTTTGATAGAGAACTTTGTTATCAAAACATGCAGTGTTTAATAGAACTCAACTGCAGAGCAAGTGTCCCTTAGTAGGCACGTTTTTGTAACAGTTAACGTCCCTCTTGTCCCACTCAGAACTTTTTGCTTCACTATCAGGACATTCTGTTCCCAAGTTTACTCTTCTACCTCGCTGATATGACAAACTGAAAATCACCTCATCTGCATTTGATACAGGAGAGTTATCTATGATTGTATCTCCCACTAGCCTAGGTACCCATTTCATAGGCTTGGCAGCCATGCGAACCTCTATCCATTTTTCTAGTTTGCTTAATTGGGCTGCACCTATTGTCCTCTCCCATCCTCTCTTCCACTATGTTTGATAATGATTCAGTATTGTGCTGCTTCACTGCCCAAAATTCCTCGCTTCTCGAATTTCAAAGTGTCTCATGATCTCTAGAATATATTTATTGCTTTTATGGTTTTCCTTATTCATTACCTTAGTCATCTTTCTTGTCTTTCTCCTACTTTCCTACTGTTTACCTGTCTTCATTGCCCTGATACAAATTTCACGGTCAACACACCTCAAAATCCCTAGACGGCCTTTGAATTCCACCTTTCATCTTTTGGAAATGTCCTGCCTTGTCCCTACATTTTGTCAAATAATTTACTCATTATAAGAATGGGGGTTCTTGTCTGTTTTCCAGATGATGATGCTGTTAATCTTGATAACTATGTTTTTCTGAAGTGTCCATTTCTCGGTATTTTTTCTTCAAGATGGATATGAAGATGATCTTGTGTTTGTAGTTTCTTTTGGGCGCGGTTATTCTTTATCAAATTGCAAGGTGATCCCCATAATTGTTTTGTTGGAACAATAGCCTTACTTGAAATGTTATGTTGTAGGTGATGATAAACTAGCGTTTCAGAGGAAACACCAGGGCGTGGTTTACGAAATGTACAACGAAAAAATTTCTAGTTGTGTGGAAGGGGCAGAAATAATGAGTAATAGGTCTTATTGGTAGTCTCCAGTTGTGACATCCCTTTCCCTTCTATTTTGGTGTACTTTCCCTTTTCCCAAAGGGGGGAAGGAAAGGGTAGTCTACTATTTTTCAGCATCTTGTGGGACATTGATCGGAGGTATTCTCGTGATTAGTATCTATCTTGTTAAATAAATTTGAATTATCCTTTTTTCTTTTCGACTTCAAAAGTGTTGGAAATTTAAAATTTGTTTAATTATTTTATCAGTAGGAAATTTATTGTTTGATGTTGGAGTAATAGATGTTCTGAACCCAATATTATCACAAACATTAAAATAAAGACATAATATTGAATAATGTGAGCCATTCTATGTAACTAAGGAATGGAAAGGTTGGCTAAATTATGGGGCCTGAAATAAGAGAGGTTGGGTTGTTTGTAATAGATATTCTTATGAAGAAACAGAAAAAAAAAACTGAAATATCAGACGATGATGGAGACCTCATTTTCATATGTTGCAGATTTCTTGGCACCGTATCCAGCACGCACATGCTATCAGGCTGCAGCCCTTCCGGTGGGTGCAAAGGTTGAAATTGAATGCATTGCAGCTCTATAGCTTTATAGAAAGGTGGGCCCCCGCCTCCCCTCTTACATTTATTTAGCATAGATACTGTCTCCCTTGTTAATTGGCAAAAGACAGAGTGAGGTGTAGTGGGTAGAATGTCTTGAGACTTTTAATGTTGTGCTATTGGAGTTAGTGGTAGGTACATTGTTACTGCTAAATAAAGCAATGAAAGAATGCTGACGTTGAAATACTGCTAAGGAATATGGCAAATGTGGATTAGTGCTGGCGCCCTTTTCGTGGTGTGACATGCACCACTTGCTGAAAACTCTCTCTCATACACACGTGTGCACACATACACCCACCCACACAGTGCAGGTGCAACGTGCAGAATGCACACGCACAGTGAGAGCTGGTTTTTGTTCAAGTTTCCTATATTTAGTGAAGGTGTGGTTTGCATAAGGTCGCAGCCTTAAATAATCAAAGTGGGTGCACCACCAAACTTGGTTATAAGATGAAATTTTGGTGTCCAAAATTCGTACAATGGTGTGAATATATTTTCGTCTCTAATTATAAAATTTTGAACTCCAAAAAATGGTTCAAATCAAGCATATGTATATATGCATGAAAACCTTGAAGATGGATTGTAAGATATACTATTTTGTGGACTTGAAATCTTCTTTTTTTTTCATATCTATACATCTTGATGTCGAGGTGATCAATTCAATGTTTGTCCAACAAGAAGAAAAGCTTTTTCAATGGATTTTTTAGGTGCGCCTTAATTCTACATTTTAAGATGACAACTTTATATAAACTTTTTCTTTAATGAAATTTAGTCGTTCCAGTTGTCTCAAAACTTAGGGGGTTTTATCCCATGTACAATGCTGATAGCCGTTCCTATTTTGCATAAGAAAATTGCACTTTAGATAAAATTTGCAAAAAATAACCTTTTCCCATTCTTTGACACCGAAATGAATGTAATCATATTGGGATAGTATTACTTGAAGACGCTTGAGTTTTCTGAAGTTGTTTGAAATATACCAGTCGTAAGATGTCAACACTGGACTGATGGGTTGTGTGAATCAATTGTAGGAAACTTGAGTGCATGAATTATTGACATTATATAACGAACTGGCCATTTGACTCAAAAGTCCAAGGGTCTAGTAGCTAGTATTTCTGGATCCCAAATGAGAAACATGGGTTCATTTTGGATAAAATTTATAGGCAAAATCTTTGCAATTAAATTGTTCAAAATACTTCGTAAAGTTAAAGAAGGAAAAAGTTTATCAGGTTGTTACTTTATACTATAAAAGTAAAAAGCCCTGTAGAAAAAAAGTGTCATGAAGTTGGAAAACCTTACAAATTGATCATCTTGACTTTGACTTTGAGATATGTGGATATAAAAAAAGAAAAGAATTTTCAGTTTTAAAAATAGTGCATCTTTTAACAAGTTATTTAGACCATTTATTTTCAAGTTTTCATAGATATGTTCGATCTACACTATTTTTGATGCTTTGAATTTTATGATTAAAGATGAAAATATAATTTAAGGTTATTACAAAGATTTCCGATATTGAAACCACATTTCTCGATACTATATGAAGGTGTGCTTTATTTTGATTGTTTAAAGTACAAATTGCACCCAAAAAAAAGTCATGTCAACTAAAAAACAAATAAATAAAAATATAAAATACAAAGAAACTCCACAATTACATGGCTAAGTGTTCGTTTGTGCTTCCTCATGCATTGATGATGACTTCAAACTAGAATGGGACCAATATGCCTACAATATCTTCTTCTTATTTTTGTGAATGTTCACAATTACTTTCATTAATATAAGAAGCAAAGCTCCAAACGTACAAATGAGAGGACAAAAGAGAATAATACGCATTGTACTCCCTACTTGTAGGGGTGATCCATATTAACTTACAAACTCAACAATACCCTACCTTGAAAGGTCCATACACCACCAGCTACAGAAGACCTCAGCTAAACTCCACAAAGTGTTTCCAAGAACTCCGCCACCTAACGTCAATTATCCACCCAAACTACTCAATTGACACCCCAAATGCGCCTTTCCTACTACAATAACCTCAAGGGCAGGGGTTGGTTCGATGTGAAGCCTATACTTAAAACGGCATACAAAAGAAGAACAAGCAAAGCATGGCGTCATACAAGAGGGATCAACGGCATACAAAAGAAGAACAAGCAAAGCATGGCTGCATACAAGAGGGATCAACGGCATACAAGAGGGACAAAGATAGGTCTATGAAAAATCGAGTGAGAAGAGAAAAAAGGGGAAGAAGTCTAGAGACAAGCTAATATGCAGAGAGGAGGGAGTAAATGAAAGACAAACCTACATGATCTTTTACCGGAAAATAATCTATTTATTTATTTCATTCCTTTTGTTTTGGCAAAAAATCACTTACATGTGATCTTTATTACAACAATATAAACTTCAAAATAAAATCAACATAACAATAAAACCAAGATCATGACAACTTGACGTCATTGGAACAACTATGCACTATACTTAAAAATAAAATAAAAGATTGCAAGAAAATAGAAGGGAAGAGTGCCAGAGATTACCTCAACCGGGTTTATTACACCCCACACCGAGTCACCACCATCCAATGGTACGGGATCAACGGTCTAGCTTCAATCTCGAACCGAAAAAGCAAATTTCGGCCAAACTATTTCATACAACCCTTTTGTAGCTCATCAAGCTTAGATCCTACCTCTAAAATATTTTTGGCATATTTTCCAACCCTTAGCATATAAGATGAGAGAGAAAGTGGGAGGAGACCCTAGGGTTGGGGCGTGCCCCCTCTATGGGTAGGAGAGTAAAGGTGTAGAGAGGGGGAGAGGATGGAGGGATTGTGCATAGAGAATAGGGGGGAACTCCCACATTTATAGAGAAAATTTGGAATTAGTGTTTCTTAAGGTTTCCCATAGTTTACCTCTTCTTGTGAGATTGAATGTGAACCGTTGATCAGGGTGACATGTGAGGTGAGATACTTGAGCTATCCATGTCATAGATGGGCCATCAACATTATGGAATGTGCATGAACCCTTATCCCCCTTTTCTAAACCACTTTCTCATCAATAGAAAATAAGTCAAATAAATCTTAATTAAATATTGTGCATTCCATAAAATAGCATATCTCTACTCATATTTTCCATAAAATATATCAAAGATATATTAAGTCAATATTTACTTCTATATTAAGTCAATTTATGGTCCAAGTCATATTTGACTACATGTGACAATTCAACATTACCAAAATTAAATAAAAGGAATCCAAGGGGTGGGGCGTACCACCCATGGGAGGCACATATGGAACCCACATTTTAGAAACATGGTGGGCCCATGTGCACAATGGGCGCTCGTGATATTTTTATGCATTAAAATTAATAAATTAATTTTTAGTATTTATTTGAATAATTATACTATTGTAAAATCAATATCTTTAATTGTATAAATCTAAAATTATAAATAAAATATCCAGTGGTTCATAAAAAATTCAAATAATAATTCTAAATTAATTATTATCATAAAACAAACACAATTAAATTAATTTGATGGGAAAATGATCCATATGGTTTAGGAATTTAATCAACAATCATGGGCACTCCACCTTTAATTGTGGACTACGGACCACACTTCCTTTATCAGAATGACCCAATGTTTTCCATGACTCATAGTTCAAACAGATGCTCATTAGTGGGTCACTAGAGTCTAGCCGATGAGCCAAGGGGTCGCAATCCCAATTTGTGGATTACAGATCCTCCCCTAGAGACGAGTCAAGGTCACCAAGACCTCATGCGGCCACATTTCAATGGCACATAGGGGTATCTCTCGCACATGCGTACGCTTCACCCTAAAAGGTGGATTCTTGGTTTTTTTGAATGATTTATCGATATGCATACTGTGTGATGACACATGGATGAGGCTTTGACCCTGTTTCTATAGGCCACCATCGCACACAAGGGTCACACAATCCCTCGGCTCACTCATCCGGACATATTCGCCGACCTCATCAAGGGCTAATTCATTAGAACCCTTCTCGGTTTGTTCTTTATGCCCAGGTAACATGGGTTTTTCCCAACCGACTAACCTAGATCATCAAACACAATCCGGTATCAGTAACATCATTTGCTTAGTATGATCCACAAGGGACCACACTCCCACTGAGTTCATATTCCACTATATCTTTTCATTTTACAAGCACTCATAAGGATTTAAAGGCCACATAAACCCAACATCTCCCACTTGATCTTTAAAGGCCTTACATTTTATCTTTCGCACTTTCTCTCATCCCTATCTTTCTCTCTCAATTACAATATTTCTCTCAAGAATTTTTCACTTATTCTCTCTCAATATATTAATCATGGCTTTCGCCATCAATTCCTTCACAAAAAGTCCTATAGAGGTAACACATTTTTCTCTTTGCAGCTCGGATCTCATCCTAAAAATGGTCGTAGCCCATCTTTCATATCACATCACAAATCATGAACTTGTTATCATAGAAGACCATCACGTACCCTCATCGTATGGGATCGTATGTTCATGAGCTCGAAAGAGGTCTTCAAATAAGTTGCTCACTTCTGTAGCCATACAACCAGGTTCCATGGGTGAACAACATTATAGTCTGTTGTTCTATCTGGCCTGTCAAATACTAACAGATGTTCGCACTAGAATATTTAGTTAATGTTGATATCGATCTTTCTCAATCTCACCTCATTTCTCAGGTGATTTAAACATGGTTTTATACACTTGGAGTTCTATTGAAATTGTGGCTCCTTTGACATGTATATCGCTGTCGTGTTATCACAAAAAATATTTACTGCCTCACAACACATGGGGTCAAAGTCAACTTGATAAAGAAATTTCTTAATCCATACGGCCTCTTTGACCCCCAAACAGCACGTCACGTACTCTGCCTCCATAATGAACAATTCCACCTCATCTTGTTTCTTTGATTTTCAAGAATCAGTACCCCTTCCAAGAATGAACATGTAGCCCGATGTAGACTTTGCATCATATGGATTCGTGAGATAACTTGCACCTGTATATCTAAATATCCAAGCAGCTAAAAGAAATGTGGGACTGTAGCAGCTCCCACTCAATTATTACACATACAACATATACATTCTTAACATTCTTATGCATATATCTTGAAGTAGGATAACAAGCCTCGTGCAATAAGTAATTCAATGCCCATTGGTTTCACAATATGCAAAACCTTCCTGAACTACAAAGGTTCAACCACACTAGTTGTCTTA